GACTGGAGCGCAGTGGCCGCTCCTGGCCACCGCAACCTCGACCTGCTGGGCTCCGGCGATCCTTCCGCCTCAGCCTTCAGAGTAGCTGGAACTACTGGCGCGCGCTACCACGCCTGGCTAATTTTTTATTTATTGTGGAGATGAGGTCTCGCCAAGTTGCCCGGCGGGTCTCGAACCCGCGGGCTCAGGCAATCCACTCACCTCAGCCTCCCAAAGTGCGGGAATACAGGCTGAGCCACCGAGCCTGGCTCAAAGGATGATTTTAAAAATCAATGTGCTCTTCTATTCCTCTTCCTCTTAAATTCCTTTTTCACCTTTCAGTTTTGTGTTTCTCTCCTGCCTTTCTTCCCCACAGTGGAAGAGTCAAGAGTAAGCTTGCCATGGGGGATAAGAGAGGTGGTGTGGCACAGTGCCTGCTGGTAGGAGGAGTGCTGAGGGTGAGGTGTGGAAGTGGCAGGTGGAGGAGAGGGTCAGCATTGTTGAAGGGTGTAGCAAACAAATGTGTTGAGGATTATGAGAGCCAGGTTTCTGTTGGAGAAGGTATTTGGATTGGAGTCATGTCTTTTAAATGTAGATTCAGAGAAATTGTAAGCATATGTGTGTTCACACACACATATTTAGTGATTTTGTCCTGAGAAGACCTAAAAGCAATGACACATCAGTAGCACTGCATACAGCAAGTGCCAGGTTATTAGTTCCTAAGTGCTATCCACTAAATAAAGGAACCAGGGTTGTGAAATGTTGGCTGATTCCTAGTCAGAATCAGGGAGAAATACAGGATGAGCCCAAATCATTTTATAAACCAAACAGTAAGAAAATCCTCAAGGAATCATGAGGACATGTTGAGTGGACAAGAGTAATCTTGGAAAGGTTCCACTGGCCAAATTTGAGAAAGTTTGAACATCAGCAATAATGTTAGCATCAGAATACTAGAGGTTTCATATAGGAATCCACTGATTTATAATTATGTAAGTAAATAGATGACTACATGGAGGAGAAGGGAGTTTTGTTTTTGTTTTTACAGTAGAATGCAAACTAATAAATGTAGAAGGCATAATAAAAATAGAAAAATGTTTTTCAGCCATCATGGTGATAGTTGATTCAGGAGGGAGTTGCTAACATATGCTACAGCTTGTTGATAGGGGTTTGTTGAAGAGCAGGATATTGGCATAATCTTTGAATTATTGCCCCACAAATTACACAAAGATGAAAAATGCTGATTTTGTGGTAAAGAAAGCTGGCAGACTCCAACATGATCAGGGGATGAAAGTTACCTCTCCAATAGTTGAATAGGCCAACCCCAGGTACCCCTTGTTGAGATACACTAAAGAGCCAGCATCATTTGTGTGATACTCTTTAAAAAGCATGGCCAGCTTTTGCTTATGAATAAATACAAGGTGAACTGATTTAAAAGGTTGTCTTACAGAATGTAAAGCACGTATTTAAAAAACAAAACAAAACTGTCAAGGGCATGAAAGGGAAAGATTGAGAGGCTATTCTAGATTGGAGAAGACTAAAGATACATAGCAACAAATACAAAAGGAAAAATTGTCATTGTTAGAACAGATGGCAAATTCGGGGAGTATAGATTACATAGGAGTGTTTATCTCCTGACTTGAATTATTGTTGGGTGGTTCTATAGGTTAGTGCCCTATTTTGAGAAAACACACTGAGCATGTAAGTCATGTAGCCTCCTGTCTGCAGCTTATTTTCAGATGCTTTGAAAAAAGGTTAATGTTTGTGTGTGTGCACATGCACACACCTGCTTCTGTATGTGTGTAGAGAGAGGGTGAGCAAGTATACAAGGGACAGATGGAGGAGAGGGAATGCACAATTGGGAGAATCAGAATGAGAGGGATATGAGAGTGTTTTTTGCTGTGCTTGTGACTTTTTTCCAATCGGTTTAAAATCATTTCAAAATCTTAAAAAGTTAACTGATAAAATCTAGCACATTAATAGAAAAAAGGAGTGAAGCTATATGATTATCTCAAAAATGCAGAAGGTATTTGACAAAATTTTACACTCATTCATGATTTTTAGAAAAAACTAAAGTAGGAATACATTGAAGGGAAATATCATCAATTAAAAAACCCAACCAACCCACAACAAATATACCTAATAGGTAAGTATGGAAATAACTCTTCCTGATAGAATAGGGAAAAAAGTGCCTGTACACCTCTACATAGCATTGGACTGAAGGTTCTAATTGGTCAGTAAGGCAAAAAAAGGAAAAGAAATTGACCTAAAAACTGGGAAAGTGAAAGTATGACTCATTATTTGCAGGTGATATCATTGTATAAGTAGAAAAAAATATATGGAGATATTATAAATAAGTTGGTATAGCAAGATCAATGTAGAAAAATAAAATCATATTTTACATGGAAATGACATATAGAACATGAAATGAAAAAGGGATACCAGGACATTTGTATCCAGCCAGGACAGGCTAATGGGAAACAAATTTACCATCCTGCCTGAAAGAACTGGGAATTTTTTTTTTAATGTAGGAAACAATTGTTTTTAAGCCCCTGGATACCAGGCAGTGAAGAGCAGTGAATGTATGCTGTCTTTATTGTGGTGATGGTTATATAAGCATATTTACCAAATTTTAGTGAATTGTATATATACTTTAATATGTATACTTCAAACACTGTGTTAAGTTGCTGTTAAATTTGCAGCCCAACAGCCTAAAACATTAAGTACTAGAAATCTGAAAATTTCAGCATAAAATTGAGAGATGTTAAAGACCAAAATAAATGAAGGGATGTGCTGTGCTGATAACTTTGAAGGCCAGTTTCTCCCCAAATTGAGTGATAGATCCAATACAATCTTGTTGTTATTGTTGCTGCTTTGTCATTTTGAGGTGGAGTCTCACTCTGGCGCTGAGGCTGGAGTGCAGTGGCACAAGACCTGCTGGGCTCCTGCGATCCTTCCACCTCAGCCTTCCAAGTAGCTGGAACTACAGGTATGCACTACCACCCCCAGCTAATTTTTGATTTATTGTAGAGACGAGGTCTCACCAAGTTGCCCAGGTGGCCTCAAATCCGCGGCCTCAGGCAATCCACTCCCCTTGGCCTCCCAACTGCTGGGATTACAGGCTGAACCACCAAGCCTGGCCCCAATACAATCTTTTTTTTTTTTTTTTTTTTGAGTTGGAGTCTCACTCTGTCACCCAGACTGGAGTGCAGTGGCCGCTCCCGGCCACCGCAGCCTCGACCTGCTGGGCAGCCTCGACCTGCTGGGCTCCGGCGATTCTTCCCCCTCAGCCTTCCGAGTAGCCGGAATTACAGGCATGTGCTACCACACCCGGCTGATTTTTTTATTTATTGTAGAGATGAGGTCTTGCTGCCCAGGCGGGTCTCGAACCCTCAGGCTCAGGCAATCCACTCACCTCAGTCTCCCAAAGGCGCAGGATTACAGGCTGAGCCACCGAGCCCAGCTCCCAGTACAATCTTAATCACCATCCAGCAGTAAGTTCTTTTGGAAATTAAGTTTGAATTTAAAATGCATTTGCAAGTGCAACTAACCATAGCTAAGGTGATAGGAAAATAGAATAAATCTTCAGGTGTAAATTGCCAAATGTCAATACTTACTATAAAGCTACAGTTATTAAGATGGTGTGATATAGCAAGATGGAACACAGTCCAGAGACAGGCCTAAACACTTTGGTAAATAACAAAGGTGACATTGCAGTACTGTGGCGAAAGGTGACTTTTCTTGATAATTGGTGCTGGCTAACTGGCTCTCTATATGGAAAAACACACACACACACACATTTTGACTCTAGCCACCCACTATACATGAAAACTAATTTCATATAGATTACAGATCTAAATGTGAAAAACAACACTAACATTTTTGGAAAAAATCTAGGTGATCTTAAAAAAGAAATAAAAACTCTAATTATATATCAATTTGACTACATTAGAATTAGGAAGTTTTTTGTGTCCAAACAAAACACACAAGAGTGAAAAAACCAGCCATAGACAGGGAGAAGACAATTGAAATGCAGCTATCTAACCAAGGACTT